TTGTTCGAGTTGGTATCGAAGAACCTTGTTCTTCAACCGAAGCAGTGATGGTCCTTAAGAATGGTAGGAAAGAAGTTCACAAGAATTTGTAGGGTTGATTAGACGCTGCTGTTCAGGAATTTGGATGTTACAACTACCAAGTGGCATGTGATGAAGGGTCACGCAGATAGCTGGCAAGCATGGTGGTGTCAACCCTGTGAAAGAGCTCCTGTAATTCAATTACTTAGTTAACGGTCAGGGTGTATGCAAGGTCAAGGAGAGAATTCTAGAGGCTAGGGAAGACGGCCTGAGCAGGTCTACATTTCAGCCCGGAACTTCTCACACTATTGGTCTTTGTGGGCTACTAGTTTGTTTCAGCTCTCTGTATGGTTTGATGTCTGGCTGGGGCTGCCATTTTATGTGGATGGAATCTGTCTATTGATTTTCTTGTTCTTATTGCTCCAGAGTCCAACGGTGTTAGTGAGTGGATCGAGCGACGGATCTGGTCACCTGTTTTGCTTTCCATGCAGACGACTCATAGTCGACTTTTCAGAGAGAGCTCAGATCGGTTCAGGCATTTTCCAGACTATGGGTCCAGATTAGTGCAAAAGGTCCATTCACCTTCGATCTTCCTTCTGACCTATATGAGTGTATCGAGAATGGTTTACTCATTCCAGAGAGCAGTACAAGATTGAAGTAACAGAACACTCCTTTCCCATGGGATCCCAGAAGCAGCATCGCCGTGAAGTTTCGGAAGAACTCCAGCAATATTTCAAGGCAGGTCACAAGTGGGCGGTTTCCGAAGTGGGGCAAAAGCAACTACGTGCTACATGCATCCGAGATGTCCATTGCCCAAGGTGTGAGACTCGTCCTTGACGTGAAGAAAAACGTGCCTTAGACAGATTAAGGTGCAAGCCTTCCTGCTTGGCAATTTGGCAGTCTCCACCACTGCAATATTGTGTTCTTTCTTTTTCAGGTGTGCAAACACTTACTTCTGTTCTGTTGAAACTTTTATGGAGAGAACCACCCATTACCATCAGGGAAACCATCATCACCAGTGCCGTCAACACTACAACACAATCAAGATATCCTTAGTGCTTGTGTAAATATAAGGTTAAGTCACTTTGACCAAAGTTTTAAGTTAAATGTGTATCCCCACTTGAGAGCCTTTATTTTATCATTGATGTTGAAGAGTTTATGTGTTATTTTGAGAGTGTGGACATTTCTATTAATTTTCCTGTCTTAAGTGTTAAATTATATGATGAGGAAGTTGAGTGTTGTGAATCTTTTGTTTATATTGTTGCCAACTACTGCAAATTCCTCTTTTAATACTTCTTTATCCACTTTTTCTTCTTCCATAATGGTTTT